ACCTTGTTTTTCTGATTCAGCTTTAGTACACGACATCTGCTTTGTCTTTCAGTCTAATCAGTACCAAGACGTTATTGTCCCACTAATTATCTTTCTCCCATCAAATTTCTGGTACACCTATTATGTCAGTATCCATTAAAATCAGGCATCTAGTTTCTCTTCTCATTAATTGCTGTTGTAGTGCTGGCTTAGAAGCATGTATAGATTTGGCTGAGCTCTCTCTTTTTGTGTGCTGTGTTTAGGTGAGAGTTTATTTCTATTACTTGCTGTTTGCCATGTGCTATCTTAGTTTTGCCAGCTACTTTTTAGACAATACAGCATTTTTATTGCTTCATCTCTATGGGATGCATCATCATGAGCTGTGTAGAGGACATGCAGAAGGCATCTCCTACCTCTGCCAGTAGAGCCTCTAATTTTAAAAGTCCCCTGTAACATTTTGGACTGTTAAATGCTCACTAGCAACGAGCATTTTTCTTCTGCAAGGCTTTGCCTTGCCTCAACCTCCACAGTCTCTAAAAAGTCTTATTTTATGCATGTGAATTTCCCTATAAATAAGCAGAAAGCAATGCAATATAAGCAGTTGCTGATCACCTGCTGCTTTGCCATTCATTGTGGGTATTATTCCATAGATATCACAGCTGAAGCAAGTGAGGTCCTACCTCACTACCTCATTAGTGTCACTTAGATCTAATTGTACCACACCTGTAAGGGGTTTGTCCTGTGAATCCTGCCATATGTTGGTGTGCCCATCCCTGAACTTTGAGCCAGCACTGACCTTTGAGCCTGTTCCTGAAGCAACTTCCCAACAGGGCTCCTCTGGCCAGAGCACCTCATTTCAGTATGTGCTGCAGGCACTGCAGGTGTTCAGAAGGTGCCTGAGTCACAGTCCCCCTGAACACCATCCTGTAAACTCTTGGGGTGACCACATTTCCTGCAAGCCCTCACTCTTCCCCAGCAAAGTTCTTCCAGCACAAATGTTGCTTCCAACTGATTTCTATTGTATATATCAGCCTTCCCTTACACGAGGAGTTGAGCTGGTCATGACTCCTCGTCCTCTGGCTCATTTATGCACTTATAGAAGGACGCGGGAGTTCAAAGCCCCACACAGTTCTAGGCAGGGGGAGGAACAGACCTTTGTGTGTGTATATATCTACATATATCTATATCTCGCTGTGGTGTTATGCTAGTCAGTGAAGTCATTTATCAGATCATTTGATGGGGCATATTGCTTTTGCTTTCCATTGTGGTGCCGTAGTTTCCAGACATAATATCTGGCTTGGTTTCTTCCTTTTAAACGTATCCTCCATGGCCTCTTGGAAGTCCTCTTGGACACAGAGAAGGAAGCAATGGAGAAGGGGAGCTAGAAGGTGCACCCAAAAGGTGTGATGAAAGGAGAAGGGTGGTGGAGTGTGTCCCAGGTAGAGTGTTCTGGGTGGGCACTGCATCAGGGAGCCCAACAGAAAGCTGCTTTAGCAAGGTTTTTAATAGCCCAACGGCAGAGGAAAGGCTGAAAGCTGTGTTCAAAAATGGACCAAATAGCTGAAAACTGAGTGTACTTTCCAGGGTAATGCATGAGTGTCCCTCACTAAACAGGTTACCCCTTTCTTCTTTGGGCATCAAAATACTCAGTAGGAACAAAACTCGGATTAAGTTTTGTGGAGAAGATCCCAGGAGCAATTCAGAACTGACAGATCGGGCCCAGCCCTATTGCAGCAGTTCCCTTCCAACTCCTTTGGAAAGACTTGCTATCTTCTGCTCGCATCTGTAATGAAAATCAGAAATAGCACACGTCGTGGGACCCAACATCTCCTCTGTGAGAGCCCATTCAAAGTCCTGGCCAACATAACCAGCTATTGCCCTATCATCCTTTATCAATAGCGAATGGAAACTGTCATAAGAAATATTTGTGGACACAGAAAATGTGGTTTTTTCTAGCTATTATCTACCATCACCAAGCTGATTTTGTTAAGCAGATTTGGCACTAACAACCAGCAATAGCTAATAAATTCAATGTTAGGCTTACAGGGTTCTGACAGATTGTTGGCAGCTGCCTTAAACACAGGGAAGAGCTCTCCTAGTGTGGGTTGGAAATGCTTATTTATACCATACTGTGGGTCTGTTTGCCCCAAATTTTGCTGCCTCCTTTTAGTAGATGTCATCAGTGCAATATATGCAAAGGGTATAATAACTGATCAGAAATAGAGTATCCAGCTACACAGAGATCAGCACAAATGGATTAAAGATAGGAAGCTCAAGCATAAGCTATTACATTTTTGCAGTAAGTATAAGAAACCTTTTCAATTATGAATGCAAGATTTGTGATAAGGATGTAGCTAGGCCTCACCATAGATGTTTTTATTTTACTGTGAATGTTCCGGTGATTAGCTTTCCTATATTAAGAAGATTTTAAATATTATGCAGAGGTTTTATACTGACTTGCTGTTAATTGGTGAGGGACTCTAGGAGAGACTGCCGACACAGCTAGACTAAGTTTGTTCTTAGGCTTTCTTTAGCGTGCCTTAAAAGTGGAAGCTCATGTGCTCAGAAACAGGCACAGGCTTCAACAGCTGTATTTAGCTTGGAAGTTGGTTAGGTAGAGGTCCTCTTTAGATCAGGGAAATTCAACTGAAAAGAAAACTTCAGAAAGCTTGAATGTTCAGTTGCAGTAACTGCATGGAGACGTTTTAGATAATTGAAGCCTTGAACAATCACTTTAGTGTTCAGTGATGCTGAGAATGTGTACAGAAACTGAATAAGCTGAAGTCTTATTGCGCAGATGAGTGTAGTCCAAAAATTCCCAGTTACATAAGGTATGGTGAAAACCCCAATATGTTTGTGTAACTGAGCTCCATGCTTTATATTCAATGCATTTTATCATTGGATAATTTACTTGGAAGAATCAAGAATCTGTCCTAGCACTGGGTGTAACTGGGTAGTTGACAATCCTATGACCGTTAAAGTAAATGCTGAGTGAGAGGATGAAGAAATTAAAGGAGTAGGAAGTTCCTTCTAATTTGGAAAGAGAAGAAAAGTAGTCAAGAGATTGAATTCTACAGTGAAGGAAAGTTGAGTACAGTTGACACACAAAGTATAAGATTGATGGTGAAAAATTTAGATTAACTATGTTGCACTGTCAAACTTGATCTACAGTTGTTTATCAGTCAGAAGGTCAGCACTTTCCATCTCTGACTGAGCATTCCCCTCTCTTTCTGCCAATGTGCCTTACAACTCCATGGCAAGAGTTCAGAAATAGTTCTAAGTTTATTTATACCATTACACCAAAAGATCTATTTTTTTCCTCAAAAAGGAAAAATAGAATAGTCTAGAAATATACACTGACATCGTGCAGCAACTCTAAAATTCAATTAAAAAAAATTGTTGACAGTATTTCACACAACCAAAAGAAATACTTAAGTAAAGCACTAATGCTGTTTTGGGAAGCGTGTGGGTGATGCAACCAAGCATTGTGCACCATAATGAACTTGCAGAGAAAATGGATAAAGCCCCAAAACATCCCATTGCCTTTATAACAGACATATCATGCTTCTTTTGAGTCTGTCTCCTGAGGGTGTCATCAATGCCAAGTAGTCATTGTATTGGGAAAGGCAGTGAACTACCATTCCCCAGGCTGCCTTTTTGGTCCCTCTTACATCTATATACATGTCCATGATATCTCTCCTCACATGTCTCTCCTTCAGGCTGAAGAGTCTTAACCTCATCCTTGTACAGCACCTTCCAGAACTGTGATTATCCTCGGTGCTGTTCTGTGAGCTGGACTAAAAAGGACAAAATACCACACTATATTTTTATATAAATGTGAAGCTTTCAGATGTATACAGTCCTCATGCGACAGGATGCTCTCTGCTCTGCTCTCAAGTCTTTTCCTAATGCTTTCTAACAGATGAGTTTGGTTTTTGACCGCTGCTGAGTATTGACCTAGTGCTTTCATAAGAGCAGTTATACCCCAAGGTCCCATTTGTGTGTGTAAATTCAGCTCAGAACCCATTAGTGGCAGTAATCCCAGGATTGTTCTTCCCTTACGTGCATAATTTATTTAGGTTTACTTACAATGAATTTCACAAAGGCTGTCTCTGTTACTTTTTCTCTCACTGAAATACCCCACTGCTTTATTAATGGTAATTGCCCTTCTCTTTCAATCTGTCTAGCTGACCAGCAATTCAAACTAAGAACAATTGCTCCTTACACCACTTACTGCCACTCTGTCAGACCTGATGAAGGTACCATATGCCCCAAAGGTTTTGTGATTGTCTCAAGTGGTCTAACAAAATAGACTGCTGCTTGGCACAAACATGAATTTTCATCATCCAAGCTCATTATCAGTGTGAAGGACACTGCGGGGCTCGTGCCCCTCTTCAGCTGTGGGCAGAGCGCTCTGCCGGGAGCAGGAAGGGTTCAGCTGCCCTGTTTGTTAATTGAACTCTGCCCAGTTTTTTTCCTGATAAATACTGTTTTGAAACATGGGTTGAATTGATATTGAGAATTTACAACTTCAATACCAGGGTAAAGAAAAGCTTTGCAGCCTGCCTCTTTCTGTGCACTTGAGTATTATTTTTTTTTTCCAAGGGCAAATCAAACAAATAAACATCTACAAGGTTCCCTCTCACAAAGAGCCATTTGGTACTGTGACTGCCGGTTTTTGACCACAAAGTGTCCTCTTGGCCTGAGGAAACCATGTAGTCTGTCCTTCCTCACTAGAGGAAGAAGGGAAATGTCTGTATTACATTATTAATCTTTATTTTCTTGGAAAAAAATCAGCTGAATGAAGAGAAAATGCATCAGAAAAATGACAGATCTGCATAAACTGAGTAAACAGCTCTCTCAAACCCTTGGCATTTATTCCACCTGGCTGTGTGTAATCTGGATGACATGTAGGTCCTTGTGTGCTCAGGTAGTAATGTTTCCCCGGCACTAAAGTACGACAAGAAACAATACCAATGCAATTTGTGAAACAGGAAGAAACCTTGACTGTATTGTCTTACCTTTTTCAGAAGCCGGGGCAAGGTCAATAAAACTTCGACATTTTTCACCTTTAAAAGAAAAGGATTATTTTAGAAGACAGAAAGTGATTGGTTTTGCTCTACTTTCTCTTTCTGACTGGTGTTTCTGCCATGGCTCCCACCTGAGCCTCCTCAGGACCAGTAGGTTGTCCCACACAGAGCAGACATTTACCTCCAGCCTGGACCAAAGATACCGTGCTCACAAGGCTGGACTCTCCCTTAGGACTACAGCCCCTTGATCACAAGTACGAAATCCAGTTAGTGAGGAACAATGTTCTCTCTGATGCTGGGTCAGTGCTGCTCTTTCCCAAGGCCAGGAATAGTGTTACACTCCACATGGAGTAGCACTGGGAGGGCACAGTCCTATTTCACTAGCGCTTTTGCCCTCTTTCTCATGGTCAGGACAATGCCTGAGCCTCACCAGCGTCTCACCGAACCTCCCAGTGCCAGGAAGCATTGCCATGGGCACAGATGTCTCAATAGATAGATATGACACATGTGACTAGGACAGACAAAACCTGAAGCAGAAAGCAAGCTAAGCAATTGCATAGAACTTTTAAAAAATGGTTAAAAAAGCAGGGAAATGCCTTGCCATGACCATCGCCCAGCCCTGTGCCACTCCCTCTGCTTCGTGGCTACTGCGTCCATTTATCACTGGAATTTAAATTTTCTCTCTTTACGACTGCACCTCCATTTTTGCAGGCATTCTTGAGAAGCCTATTGCTTCTGAGCGGGAAATGTATCTTAAAGGTGGATGTATTGGCCTTTCTCTTTTCTTTTTACTTCGTTAGGCAAATAAAGAGAGCATAAAATAGCTCCTCTGCTCTAGGTGTTTCCATCCACCGTGTGTGTTGTGTTTCCTTCAATACAGTATATTCCAAGGTGACCAGTAGCCTGCCTGCCTTGAGGAGTCGGAGCCCAGCGTGCCTGCCAGAGGTAATGAAGAAGAATCCATTTTTTCCCTATAAGATTTCAATTGATGCTAAGACAGCTTCGGGAGGAGAGTTTTTTTTATTAATTTTGCTCAATTTTAATTGCACAGTGAAAAGATTATTTAGGAAATGTGAGCCATTAAAAAAGACTAAACAGTGTAGTGATGTTGAACTCAGTGTGCAATTTTTTCTGAGTTTTAATGAATTATACGTACAAACTGATTAAAAATGTTAATCTTTCTGGTGTCTTAGTTGGTGGGATTAAGATAAATGTAACTTTTCAAATTATAGTTGTACTGAAATAACAATATTATTATGACCCTATTATTACCACATTTATTTTTTGCAGTTTTAAACCTATGCTAAATATGTTTAAAAGTGTTGTGTACATATTCTGTAGTCTGCCTCTATATATGTTGCTATAAAAGGTTCACTTGACATTGCAATGAATGTTTTGATATCTCCATGGTATAGGAAGGACTTCTGCTCTGTGAATTCAGGCACTGTCAAGAGGACAGGCAAGAAAAGGAAGGGACACTTGACTTATCAAGCACCATCTCTATTTCAAAAGAGGTAGGTAGGACAGTCCGTATCTGAGCAGAAGGAAAGTCAGATGAATAAATTGCTGAGTTTTGGGACAGACAGACTGAAAGATACCTGGTGGACCACAGAAGTCACAGCATCATGAGATTTTTGTGTTGATGGAACCCTGCAGGTCTCTTGTCCAGCCTCCTGTTCAGAACAGGACTATTGCTAACACCTGATCAGTTCAGCTGTGACTTTGCCCAGCCAACTCATTAAATACTTCAAGGATGATGATGCTCATCCTTTACTGACATCCCCTGCTCTGGTCCCAGGGCTGCACCACTCTTCTGGAGAAGTGTTTCCTTATGCCCAACCTGAACTTCTCTAGCTGCCCTGTCATCTCTGTAGTCATCCTTCCTCTATTTGGAGGGACATGAACAAGCCCAATCTCTCAACTTCTTTTCACACATGGTGTACTTTAGGCTTCTGACTGAGAAATCCAGAAAAATAGGTGGACTATAAAAGTTACTCAGTTGTAAATAAGTATCATTCTCATCCAGAGCCTCTGAGTTTTAGGGCAGGAGGTGTGTCAGGAATGCATTGACATAAAATCAAGAGAATATAAGGAGAGTGACCTTAGATTTGGCCTTGATATAAGCAGATTAAGCAGGATTTTTCATTCTAGCCATATGGATCTGTGGTTTGTGTTTGGTTTTGTGTGTTTTGGCTGGTTTTTTTTTAGATTTAAGCTACTACTTTTATCACAGTTTTATTTTAACCTGACTTCAAGCTATCTGGCTAGCACTGAGTCATCTCTCACCTGTGGTTGCAGTGAATCTGAAGTCGTATTACTGGGAACTTTAACGAATATGTGACTCTAGCATGTTGTCCCAAGACAGCCAAAGAGGAATGGCACTGGCTGCTACAGAAACTGCACAGGCTGTTGTGAGAGCTGGAGATAACCTGGTGCCTTTCAGATTGTACCTTGTACCCAGCAAGGTACAAAGCCTTTCTGACACACATGGGTGCTGAGGAAGCTGATGGTACCATAGTGTTGGACAGCAGATGCCTTGTCTGCAGGCAGGATGTAGAGAGTGGGATCACAGGCTATTTGAAGGAATGTGCATCCTCATCCTCCCTCAAATTGGCTTTCCCAGAACATAATGGTTTGAGAGAGCTGGCTGTGGTTGAGGTCTCCAGTTTAAATAATATGGACAGAAAATGGTGGAACGTCCAGAAGAAGTCCTTTTGGAGCCATAGCACAAAGAATGACTGTAGATTGGAGACAGAGAAAAGCCTGGAAGGAGATCACTTCATTTCCAATGACTGATGCCTGGATTGTGCCTGGCTTACTGCTAAAGGTTGTGGTAGGAACTGTGCAAGCAGCTCCTGATCAAGAAGACTTCCCTTCATTGTTCCTGTTGCTTGAGTGCTGGAAACCCCTCCTCCATTTTCAATGGTAACCACTGGTGGTATTTATAGAGTGTATTCATATTGAACATGCAGACATGCATCTCACTGAGAACTGAAGATGTCAGCAGTGCTTTCACTGTTCCTCTTAGGATTTATTCTGTTATTTTTGGGTATCTTGTATAACTGATCTCTTAAGCCCTCTTAAGTTTAATTTTAGACTTGGCAGAGTTTATCCTGCTGTGCTGCCCTTTTCCAGATGCATCTTCTCCTCATAACCAGGCTCATGGTGAGTCTTTAGAGAATACAGAAAAGGCTGTTTAGAAATGCAACAAGAATAGTGTCTAGGATGGATCCCCCTGGTAGCCCTGCCTTCCCACTGTTGTGGCAGCGATTCTGACAGAGGAGAAGGCCAAGGAGCGATCTCTCCTGCACATAACTCAAGTAGAAAGAGGTGTGACCTGGCTTGAATGTCCTCCACGTCCATGCAAGAGGAAGCTTCACAGTGCTTATGAAGCTCTCTGGAGCTCAGCAGTGTCAGGGAGCTGCCGGAGGCGGAGGAGACCACCTCAACATCAGTGAGAGCAAAGCACTTGGTACCGGCTGCTTCTGTGGCTTCCCAAGGGTGAGGTAGAAACATCATCTCTGCAAGCCCTTGCCAAATGCATTCCCTCATACAGACTGCTGCACTGCTGCTGCACGGGCTCAGTTGTGTCTCTGCTGGGCTTCCCGAGAAGGGGGCATGGGTCATAGGGCCTGTAGGTCTGGGTACAGGCAACCCCAAAATTTGTGTGCATTTTCCCCATTCTCAAATCCCCCAAATTTAATTCTGCCAGAAAATTGAGACAAACAGGTCCTGTAGATCCATCAGGTGTGCACGCTGTGCTGGATTCAGGGCTGTGGGCTACTTTCTGCATTGTGCCCTGCACACTTTTTCATGGGCGCAGCAAAAGTGCACTGCAAGAGATCAGCAGTGCCTGGCTGAAGCTTCAAAGGTGGATGCGTTCTCCTCGGGGTCTATGGAAGACCCTAGGGAGCAGTTAGAGAGCTATATAGTGGAAAGGCAGGTCTAGGTGCACATAGATTGGGGCTAAACTGTATCTAAGCTCAGTGTGCACACTGGAATGATCCTGACTTTAAGCCTCTGGGAGACCCACCTGTATTCTACTGTTTCTTCCATCCCTGGTCTGAAATGTATGGTTTGTTTGCTCCTGTCTCCAGGACCCCACATTGCACAACAGTAGTGAGATTTGTCCAGGGTACCCCTCACTAAACTGGACTAGAAATCAGGAAGAGGGTAGAAAACACACACAGAAAAGCATAGGCTTTAAGAAAATATTCTGAGTTTATAACATGGCTGTTCCAGAAGCTGATGTCCTGGATCATGCTTATTGCTCCTACATTCCCAAGTTCTTTCCTCTCCAAGCCAGTGATAAATGCCTCATTAATAACCAGGGCAGCAAAAAAATCCCAACTCTGAAAAATCCTAGTTTGCATGTCTTGCAACTACACAGTTTCAAAATATTCTAGTTAAATAATTTACCTTAAAATAAATCTGGTAGTTCTGACTGAGAGAAGGATCTCTGTTATAACTCTGCTTTTCATCTTGCAAAAAAAAAAGAAAAAGAAAAAGCTGTCTGTATTCACTTACTCTGCATAAAATTTTACGAGTTCAAAAGTACAGTTCTGATGGAAATTTAAATGATTAAATTTCATTTAAACAGCATTCCCTTTTAGTAACACTCTGGCTCCCAGCCTACCAAAGACAAGGTCCCCTTTTTTCCTAATAGGCGCTAACAAGTCTTTATATCTCCAATTATATCTGTGGAGTCACGTGATTCTGATGAGATTCCACTTCATCTACTGAGAGTAAAATCATTGTATTTGTCTAAAAAAAGATGTAACCCTTAAGGGATCCCAGCCTAGACAAGGCTGAGGACTCTAACATAACTTCAGTGAAATAAAGTACTACATTAGGGAAAATACAGGTTAATGAGTTCAATCAAACTGAATTGTATCACATTAATTAATGAATGAAATATTCCACTTTTGATTTAGATTATCTCAGACAGAATATTTAATCAAGTTTTTTCTAATGAAAAATCAAGTATTAATCTGCAAAATCAACATTTTCCAGTTGACCGTGTTGATTTTGCTGGAGCA